TAGTGTTTTGATTTAGTATTTTAAAATTTTTAAATTCAGGTGTTAAAGCCGTTTATCTGAAATTCATTCCCTTGCAAATTTTTCTCTTTGATCTGCTAACATGCCTAACAAAAATTACACCATTAACTTCACTATGCCAGGTCCAAAATTTTAAACATTGTCATTGTTTAAATTTTCATCAACTAACGGTTCTGTTGAAGAATATGAGTTATCGTTTGTATACGATGGATTGTTTGTTAAAACTTACAAGATAAATCAGTGCTCACACAGGAAAATAAATTAAATATATGAAATTTTTCTTAGGAATCCTTGATCATATCTTACTCTACATCATTGATGTTGTCTCTATCTTATTAATAAAGCTCACGTTGTTTGGTTAAGGTTCCTCTTCACTCCATCTGCTGTGTGTCTTTTTCAAACATTGCTCCCAGCTTCTCCTTGTGAACCATTTATTTAATTAACATCAGAAGGTTCTTCACTGTATAAACTGATTCAATTGTTCCCGATTGCAGCCTATTACTTACATATTTTCGCCCAACTTGAGCATACAGTAAGTTGAGGAGAAATCTCTTAGATTCTCTATCTTGACCGTAATGTGTCACATACTATGTTTGCGTATGCACACACGTTGGATCATGAGTTAGCTCATTGACATGTTCCATTCATAATGAGGTAAGCAAATAGAGACATCTGAAGTGATTATCAAGGTATATGTATATCTTCAGTTGTGGGGAATTCTGTGGAACTGGTTTCTTTTCGTGGTTCCAGGATAAAGTTTTATGAAGAACTCTAACAGTTAGGTAGCTGGATAGCCTAGATTGTATGTCCACCAGACGCAGAACCATTTAGCTACCTTTTAAGTTTACTTTATATAAAAAAAGTTTTGTTTTTTATTATGTTCTTTATATTTTTATTAATTTTTATTTCAATTCTAACATATATAAAACAAAATAATTATCAATTAAATTAAATATTAAATAATCAACTTTTAAGTTGACAAAATAAAAATCAATTTTTAACATTCATTTTAATATATATATATATACACATATATTTCATACATATTGATATCTATAAAAATGTGGATATGGACATTTAAATAATAGAGTTTAAACTATGTGGACATGGACATCAAAGCTAGACACAAACACAAAAACATTAACATCCATACTTTCACCGAGTTTAGTTTATAGTAATTACGTATGTTGACAGAGTTATGAAATGCGAGACCAAATGAAAAGAGATAGACCACACTTTGGAGTCTGGATATAAGGTGTTGAACTGCATCATCCATGGACTCTTAATGGGTGGGAACACGATTGATGTTTATGGCGTTGTTGTTGTGGACTACATCATAGACTGTTGATGTGTTCATGTAGTCAAAATATCTTGCTGCATCATCCATGGATTCTTATGGTGGTCATGTCAAGTTTGGCCCAAAAATCCATCTACTAATATAACCAAAGTATCAATTAAGAACACTTGTTGTGGGAGACCAGAAAAAGATAAATAAAGAAGTATTTTAATCGAAGTCAAGCACTTTTACTTCTCAGATCTTTGATATAAAGAAGAGTCAATTTGCTCAAAATACTAAAAGGTTTTGAATACCTTAAGTTTGGAGAGAAATATTGATGATGGGGGGGGGGGAGCAAAAACTGGGGGAAATAGGATAGGAAGTGCAAATAGGGTATTAATTGTGTGAAGGGAGTGAAAATTCTCTACAAAGAAAAAGTGTTGATATTTAAATCTCAGATCCTTTACCAAGAAAGAAAGTGATATGAGAATCTGTAAATGTCAAAATTGAGCTCTTTGTAGAAAAAGGAATGAAGTTAACCTTCACATCACGAGAGCTTGTCATCTTCTTTTCCACAATGGAGGTCGGACCTGATCGTCGCCGCGTCATCTCCACACTAGAGCTTGGATCTGCTGGTCGTGTTGTCATCCTCCTCCACAACAGAGCTCAGATTTTCTGGCTGTAGCGTCTTCCTCTCCACACCAGAACTCTCAGATCCACTCGTCATCTCTCGTGTCCACAAAATCTCAGAGATTTGATTCAATTGGAAAATTACAACATAAACATTTAAAAAAAGAAAAACGTAAAAGTTAGGGATTTTAGAAACTTTTGAAAGTCAAAAAGAGCTAAGAAATTCAAAATATAAACCTACGATGTTAATCTGCAGTGAAGAAAGTTAACTATTGAGGTTCGCTTTCTTCTTTGACTTCGTTCGCCAATGTTTTTCGAAGTTGAATGAGATTTTGGATAGAGGATAAAAGGGAATCGTTACAATTAAAATTTGAGAAACTATGAAAGTGATTTCAATTTTTGTTTTAGTTAAGAGATAAGAGATGAATTTTATTTTACTATATTTCTTTAATTGAGATGGATATCCAATTGGAAAAATTGTTGTTTTAGTCAGGAATGTTTAGTTACGAAAGAAAGAACGTTGAGGAGAAACAAAACTAGGGGTATAAAAGACAATCAATACACAGAAAGTGTCTCTCCAGCAATATGTATTTGATTGTGTAAATTGAAAGTGAAAATGTGTCTTAAAGCGTAAAAAAATCTTAAACCAATAAAGACTGAATTATATTAGGATAACATATAAATCTTGAAAAGCCATTGTTTTGTAAACCATCCATAGACTCCAGTATATCTTTGTTATGAAATATTAAGAAAATAATTCATGAGCTATCCGACTAAGAAGTAGAATAACCAAATCATTTACCACCCATCCAAGTGGTCAAAAACACAATCAAATGCTCGTCCCAAGTTTCAAATTTGTGTAAATGTGGGTCTGTTTTTTGAAATGGTAATTATCCATTCAATTCAGCTGCAACTCTGAATAGTGATCACATGATGGTTTAATTTCCATTAACTAGGTGGACGGCCCGCACGCCTGTGCGGACATTAATATAACTATACATTGCATAAAAATTGATATGAGTGTATAAATGTATTGTAACTCTCTTTTATCCGTTTTTCTTTGTATATCTTTCTATCTTATTCATTTCGTTTTTTCTTGTTTTTTTTTCACACACATTCATTCTGTCTCTTTTATATTTCTCTTCCCGTTCTTTTTATATGTCATTGTACCTCTTTCGCTTGCTTTCCCTTTTTCTTTTTTCTCTCTTGATCAAATAATCTCAAAATCTTTCAAACTTACATTAACTCTCTCACAATTATTTATATTCTCTCTTTTACCCCATCTTTATTATAACCCTCAATATTTTACTTTCAAACTTTTTCTAATTCTTTTTTGTTACAAATTTTACCAGATTTGGTTAAATCTTCAAACACTCTCACATAATATTAACAAATGATTTCATGATCTATCTCACTTACATCCAGTCTCTCACTTACATCCAGTCTCTCACTTATTTCACTCTTATATCCATCATGATCATAACCCTCATTCCTCATCATCAACATCTCTCCCTCTCTCACCTATTTTTTTTTTAGCTTTTGACGTAAAACTCACAACAAGTTAACCAAACAAATTCATTATTAAGTTCTCTCCAACTTTCATACTATCTTATTAAATATTGATTCAACTGACCAAGACTTTCATTAGAAAATAAATACTTTTTAAATAAAAATTATTATTTTTTAAATTACTTCAATACACACCTATTTTAAGTAAATCTGATTTACTGTATTTAAAACAAAATGATTAACTAATTATATATCCTAAAACTATCTAAATTTTTAAATAATGTGATGTCATTAGACATAGATATATCAAAATAACATAACATGTTTCTATTTGTATAAATTTTGTTATAACTTTGTTATCATACATTTTAAAAACATTATTGTACCGCAAAAAATACTTATCATTATTTTAGAATAATTTTATTTTAAATTTAATTTACGTTATATTTTGTATTTTTGACATTAATAAATTTAGAACTTATCATTTATATTTATCTTCTTTGGCCAAATTTTATGTTGTATAAACACCTAAAACTAATTAGTTTACAATTATAATAATACGTAAAAAAATATTTCGGTATACAAATAAAAATGATGTAGGAAAAAATATAAAATCACGAAGAATACAACAAAAGGTTTTATTATTATTCACTCATGTTTTTTTAATTATTTCTATTTTTTATTATTAAAAATTAACATGCCAATTTTATTATATTCAAAGCTATATGAATAGAATAACTCTAGTCTCGTATTAATATAATTCAACTATAATACCATTTTGTCATTGAAAATGATTGATTTTTTTTTAATTATGCATTTGACTATTTTACATTTATTTGATATATTTTTAGAATATATGTATATAGTGGGTATAATTATCATTAGGTTTATATTTATTATTGTATTCACTAAAAATATAACATATTTAAATATTTTTGGATCATCATTTTTGTCGGAGAGACTAAAATTTGCAAATATCCGTTTATATTTAAATAATTTATATAAAGTAATCTATGATAATAAATTGCTTCAATGAATAAATTATGTTAATTTTTTTATATTTAAGATGTTTGGTTGTTTATTTGTTAAGATAATTAGATAAGGTAATTCTATTATTAGTTTTCTTTTAAAAATTTTAATTAAGTTAATAAAAATTCAAATACCAACAACCAATCAAATCAAGAGAATTAATTCTAAACTTAACCTATGAATGACATCTAAACAAAAATCAATAAAGTGATTTCTCATTTAATATATAGTAGAATAGTAATGATCAAATGTTATTGGGTACCCAATGTTATTCACTTAGTTTTCTTTCCCCTTCGCGTTATTTACCAAATTCACCCTTTATTTAATCCCTAAATTACTGAAACTCAGTCTTATTTTAGGGTAGTTTATGGTTATACTAACATAGATCTAGTTACATGTAGAACAGAACTGGGGTTAAAGATGGGATTTATGTTTACTTTAATCTCGGACTGACACGTGTTATAATCTGAAACTGCAACAGAGGTTTGACCGACATTTTTTGTTTACTTTTGCTGAGGCATTTCGTCGAACATGTAGACGACGACTTTTGTAAGCGTCTCTCTCTAGTGTTTTATCTCCAGGATCTTCCTTGTTTCTTATTCATGGATAAAATTCTTGAGAATCATCAGTTTGCAACGCATTTCGACGACTTTTGTAAGCGTCTCTCTCTAGTGTTTTATCTCCAGGATCTTCCTTGTTTCTTATTCATGGATAAAATTCTTGAGAATCATCAGTTTGCAACGCATGCCATCGCCGCATCAGCCTCTGTCTCGGTAGGAACTGCTCTTGCTTACCCTCTTGATACCATCAAAACCATCATTCAGGTTGGTTCAGGACCGAGTAAGAAGCTAAGCCCTTCTCAAGTCGTGAACAGAGTTTTCCGCGTCTCTGGCTATTCAGGTCAGCACTCTTTCGTTTGAATGTAGCATCCGGCAAGATGATGTTTTGTTTCATTGTTTGTGCCTTCTTGAAAAAAAATGCAGGTCTGTACAGTGGTCTTGGATGGTTAAGTTTGGGAAGAATCTCAGGTGTTGGTGCAAGGTTCGGAGTCTATGAGATTCTTACAGCTTTCTACAAAGGTATTACGCAGGCAGACCCATTTCTCCTTTCTGCTTAATTTGTGGTATTCAAGATTAGGTTTTGCATCTAGCTCTTGCCCCACTTAACATCAGTTGATTTGCACTTTATTAAGTTAAGAGTATTCGAATTTATTCATGGGTTTTACATTCAAAGTTGGTTCCTTTCGTTATTAGGACAAGACATGATGGTAGTGTGAACTTGGTAGCTGAGCAAAACTTTTTTTCTTGAAGTATCTAAAGAGTAATTGTTATATGAACACTCCTTTCGTTCCAGATGGTCGACATGGTAACTATGTGCAAGTCAGTGAAGCCGTCCTGGCAGGGATGGTGGGAGGTGCGGCAGAAACAGTGATGACTTCTCCGTTCGAGCTGATCAAAGTCCGGCAACAAGTGACTGCTGCATCACGGGCTACTCACGCTACCACTGTTGCAGAAACCGCGCCAGTGGTTTCACCCATGATCACAAAACTGCTAAGAAGATACACTCTTGATGTGAAGTCCTTGACACAAACCGTCAGGCTCTTATCCGTTTTGAACCATAAACACCCAAACATGGCAGCCGCTTTGCAAGAGTACCCATGGATGATGACTGGAACAGGAAACCCACCATCAGCCATGGATGTTAAGAGACCTCTAGATGTTGCATCACTTGAAGGAGTAAGGGCGTTATGGAGAAATCTTCGTTCAGGTCTTATAAGTGATTGTGTTTACGGTGGAGTTTTCTTCGGAACATGGCAGTTCCTTCACGAGGCAATGATCGGTTGGAAAGCAGTCGGAATGAATCCTCTGCCAAGGTAGTTAAAACTCTTAATTTGATCACATGTTTAGTGATTGTGTAATGATTCTGCTAAACATGTTGAATTCAGTTCTGAAGAAGAGGTCGGACCTTTATCTCCGGTGGCTATTAGCATTGCCGCTGGATTTTCCGGTGCCATTGCAGCTGCAGCATCTCATAGCTTTGACTCAGCAAGAACACGTGCTCAGTGTGTAATATTGCCAAAGGTAGAAATAAAAAAAACATGTGTTGATTGTCTTACAAGTAATATGAAAACTCATTTAGTTTGGTTTCTGCTGATTTTACAGTATATAGCAAAGGAGAGGAAGTTTCTGAAATGGAATAAACCAGGCAAGAGATTAGAGAGATGGACAGGTATTCATCCTACAGACAGAAATCTCTTGTTCAGAGGGATTGGGACAAGGATGGCTCGAAGCTCTGTTGCTTCCACTGTTATTGTTGGAAGCTATTACTTAGCTGTCGATCTATTGGTTCCAAAGTGATAAGAGGATTAATACCTCACACAATCTACGAATCTGTCTTATAATCGATACCTCAGCTTCGCTATTTTGTAATAGTAACCATCGTTTTGTTTACATGACAAACTTCGTGTTTATGCATCATTTCTACTCTTTTATTTGACATTAACAATCAAATAATTACAGAATAGTTGACTGTCCTGTATACAATACCAGGAGACTCCTCATTAACGGCTTATATTATGGAAGCAAACAAGCTTAGAACATACATGAAGATAAAAGTTCAACATCCAATATTCTGAAACTGAAAATTCCAACAGGTAACGCGATTTATTGGTTCTAAAGTGAAAACAACATACTTCACACACAATCTGCAAATCTGTCTTGAATTGATCAGACAACCAACATTTCAGTTTTGCTACTTTTTAGTATAGCCATCATTTTGTTTTAATTTGAAACATTAGTGTTTATGCCTGAGCTATGTATGTGTACATTACCAATCAAATAACTACAGAATAATTGGTCGTATTGTATACAAAATCCGGACTCTCCTTAGCATTAATAGATCTCATCATACATTTGCTGGTCAATCACATTATATTTACTAAAATTCTAAAACTCTGGAAGTTTGTTACGTTTTTAAGAATTTTTTTGTTGAAGAAAGCAAAAAATGATTAGTTTTCTAAACAAGATTTTGATTAATCTCTACTTAGAAATGATCTCTTTAAAACAAAATGATCATTTTCCATTGAGATTATGAACAAGGTTGATCTAAAGATGTGACAACGAAACTAAACTCAACATTTCGTAAAACATAAGTCAATCATCCAAAGGAGACGAGTAGGTAAAACCATAATGGATTAGAAAATCAAAATAGAGAAAACCGGGAATCGAAATTTCAACAAAACGTCTTTCACAAGGATCCACATTGCTCAACAAATGAACCCTAGAAACTAAAGTATAGCTGTAAGCCTCCATAGAAAAAGCTCAAAATGTCCTCAGAACCTGAGCTTGGTAAAGAACCACCTGTTCTTCCCGGTCTTGAAACGTTCCTCAAGCTTTGCCTTAGCCTCCTTGAGAGCAGCTACCTTCTTGTCCTTGGACGAAAGAGCCTCCAGGGTGGCGACTTCTTTGAGATCCACGTCGAGTGTGTAACGAGTAGGCATCAGATGTTGGTAGTTAACGACCTTAATGAAACACTTAACTCTAGATTTCTTGGCCGTCTTCTTTGCCGAGTCCTTGCGGATGACCTTGCTCGGGTACTTCTTGAGTCCGGCGACGAGGCAGTGTCCCTAAGGACGCTCACGGTTTCCGTCGTCGAAGGAACGGATGATCACAGCCTTCTTTCCGGCGTATCTGCCCTGAAGGAGGATCACGGCCTTGTTCTGCTTCAAGAACTTCATTGTTTTTTCTTCTTCGTCTTTATCGCCGCTAAAGACCTAAGTGGCGGAATCAGTGAGAATCTATACTATTAAAAGAGAAGGAGTCTAAATAAATCTACTTAAAAAAGTTGTTTGGACCATTTCATTATACTAACATTTTTTTTATCTTTCCTTATATTTCTCTAACAATATTGTACAATAACATTATATCATATAACTTACCTTATATTTCTCTAACAATAAATTAGTCAATATTCTTATTTATTATACATTACTCTTATCGGTCAATATTTTTATTTCTCCACAATACATTATTATAACCGTATACCATATAATTTCATAATACGTGACTGATTTCACACATTAAACAAAAAATATATCATTTGCTTGAGCCACCAACTGTGCAACATTACCCTCTATCATTTCCATTGATTAATTTTCATAGCTGATGTTTGATAAATAGAGAGTATAAAATATATTGAACATCTCCATTCACGATAAATATGTTTAAAACCAAACATATTATTATTTTTAGAGTAAACCTATCTATAACATAGTATATTGTAATAATACAAAAACCGGTTTATTATCATAGTATTCTAATGTTTGNAACTATTTTAAAACATTAATTTTGTTTAAAAAGATATCTAGACTCGTGAAAGATTGTAACTTATAATTTCAATATTTTCATGAATAATCTAATTTCTATGTATTTCCAGTGTGGTAATTTCTAATTTCCAGATATGTAGCGGGTAGGCTTGGATAGTTAGGACTCAAAATACCAATAAACCCGAAAAATATTTGAAAAAATACTTCAAACCATAAATAAATACTCAAAATATATTCAAATATCTGAAAACCTTGAATTTTACCTAATCTGACTCGAAAAACAAAATATACCCAAAAATTTGATTTGAATATCCAAAACAAAATATATATATATTTTAGAACCCGAAACCTAAAACTGTAACTAAAACTTAAAAGAATATACATAATACCAAAAACATATATGAAATATCCAAACATATATAATAAAAAAAAATATTGAGTGCTTTTATGTACCCGATCGGGTCTCGGTTATGATCCATACTAGAACCGATTCCTGCGGGTCTTTAAAGATAGCCAGTAAGTACTTTATCATGGATTCTAGCCGAACCTATATTTTCGGGTCGGTTTAGTCGTGTTTTTCGATCCGGATAAAATGTCAAGACCTAGAGAGAGTTACATTAAAAACTTACATATAAAATCTCAAATAAACTAATTTATAAATTACATAATATTTCAAAAAAATCTATTTTATATATTAAGATTTGTAGCCTAATAATGTACATCATTTCTAAAATACTAAATCATATCAAAATTTGTTTATAATCTAACAAAAACTCGCGCTTTTGAAGCGCGGGTCAAAATCTAGTTCTAAGTTTAATAGTGGAGGAAAAATAACTAAATAAAACCTAGCCCAGTATTGGGCCGTTAAATTAAACTCATTTTAAGGTGGAATGATACATTTTTATTGGGCCTAGAAAATGCAAACTCCCATTTAGTGTTCTATTACACTCACTACATCCATAATATTAAAAGTGAATGCACCCTTGAAAAATCGATGGATGTAAGTTGTATGCACCCTCATTAATGGCATTTTGATAATTTATTTTTTGGTCTTACATCTATATATATATCAATTGTTACAAATCATATCACATATTAAATATACCCAATTTATTCTCTCTCTTCCCATTAATTACTCTAACCATATTCCATATTATATTTCATACATTTATATTGTCTTATAAACTTTATATTACGATTTTAATCTATAAATTGACTACATCTATAATATTAAAAGTGAAGGCACCCTTGAAAAATCGACGGATGTAAGTTGTGTGCACCCTCATTAATGACATTTTGATAATTTATTTTTTGGTCTTACATCAATATATATATCGATTGTTACAAATCATATCACATATTAAATATACCCAATTTATTCTCTCTCTTCCCATTAATTACTCTAACAATATTCCATATTATATTTCATACATTTATATTGTCTTATAAACTTTATATTACGATTTTAATCTATAGATTGACTACATAAATATTTATTATAATATAAATTAATTATATGGTGTTCAGATGCTCTCATACTTATATATGTTTACATATTTATAAAATAACTTGTAACAAATTGTAATTTTAAATCATAATATATAATTCAATATACTGTATAATAAAATCAACAAAATTGTTTTTATCAAATAAAAATATACTAAATTATATTTTAATATAGTAATTTAGATATTATATTAAATATAATTTTTATTTTTAATATATATTTTAATATTTTGCATTAATAAATTGAAGTATGTTGTAAACTCTATGAATATATGTTGTCATGAATATGTAATTCTTTTAATTTATAATTTATAAAATAATTTTAATTAAGTTATTATATATATATATTATTTATTGTAGTAATTTAATTATGAATATAAATAATGTATTTATAAATATTATAGTAATGGTATTTCTTATTTAATAAATCCAATTAAAATTAATTGTTATAATATTTAAAAGTACATTATATTAATTAAAATAAATATTAAAACAATAAATATTTATATTTACTGAAAAAGATATTAAAAGATATTGTCAAAATGCAATATTAAAAAATTTCTTGGTAATATCTTTGATATCTGATTTTTAAAATATTTAAACAATATATTAAGATTGTTATTGAATAATAACTAAATTTGTTATATGCAAGATAATTTCAAATATTTCCGTATTAACTTTTCTTCATATGTTGATATATCATCATTCTCATGGTGACATTTAATGGATGAGATACGTTTTGTTAAGAAAATATTGCAAAAACTATTTTCTATAATTATCTTCGTACTAAAATAAATGAATTGCTTCATCTACAAGTTTATAAATTAACCACAATCAATATCGTGGTTAGTTATTCTTTATTTTGTTTCCATAAATTTCGGTAACTTACCGTAGTTGTATTACCATTAACTGTTAAACTTTAAACTTCTTAACTAATTCAAAATATCTTCAAGAAATATTCCTTATTACTCGAAAGAGATATTTTTTAAAATCGTCTAAATATTCTTTCTTACATTTGCGTAACCTAAATGTATATCGTCCCTACCTATTATAAATATAACCTCTTTTAACCAGTATATTCATCATTCATTGAAAAACTTTAAAAAAAAATGGCGAATAATTTGCAGTTGTCGTGATATAAAACCGAGGAAGACTGCATGACGCATCCAAATCAAAATCTTTCATACATGGAGACATTTCATGAAAGACATAGGGGAGACCATGGAACTAATCCTTTGTGATGCAAATCTAAGTTTATCGTTTTGTATAGATTTATGATTTAGATATCTTCATTTTGTAAAAGTGTAACCTAAATGATAATGTTTTCTAAGCGTGGGTCAAAACCTAAATGATAATATTCTTCTATGTATTTATGGAACAATTCTTCTATTTTAAAACTATATTATTTTGAATAATAAATGTTAGTAATTTTCTTATTGGTCAGTTTTCTCCCATTTTTATAACTTATCTCCATTGTTGTGTATTTATCTAACACGAGTTTTTTTATCTTGATGTTATTGGACAAGTTCAAGACTTGGGTGATTGTGAGGGATAAAACTCACTTCTTAATTTAGGTTAGGTTAAGGTTGGGGAGAAGACAATCGTGGGCTGAATCCCTTAAGAACTTAGAGAATGAATTGTTGTTGTATTGATGTTTTAGTAAAGAAAATGAATACAAAGATAGTTGAGATTGATACAAAGAAATCACTTGAATGATCTATGAATGACAATGTATGTGAAAAATGTGTGAAAGACGTGACCCCTTTCTCTTCATTTCTTCCTCCTTTAAATAGCCTCAGGTCACGTGTAACTTCTCCTGATTAGTCTCCGAGATTCTCTCCGCAAACTGGGGGATTTGTAACAGCTTCCTTTTGACTGAATCGCACGCTTCTATCTTCGTATCCTAGGCTGTTTCATTAGGTTCCTACGAAAGAAGCCAGACCTCTTCTCCGTGACCTCTTTCTCGTGACCTCTTTCTTGTGACCTCTTTAGGAACAGCTTCCGTCCTTAGGTGAGCTGTACTCTTCTTCGAGATGGTAATCCATGTACGGCCCATTATTAGACTTGGTTTAACTGGTTTGCTAACTTCAGCCGACGGGCCACATTTGGGCCCAACAGTTGCCCCCAGCTCTCGAGATAAGATACTTTTCTCGGGAGCTAAACCTAGCCGCCGAATCTTTAATTTTCGTTAAGATAATGATTACTCGCGATCTTCTCTCGAGGATATCTTTTATTTGATCTGACGGATATAATTATATCTAATGATATCAACGGCTTAGATTAAAAGAATTTTGAAATGATTATTCTCCGATTCTCGAGGCTTCGACGAGATATAAAGCTGTTCACATTAATTCCAACTCCCCCACTCTCTCCACGTCTCGATTCAGTTTCCCCAGGTAACTTCTTCTGTTTCTTTCTTTTTATTTTACTTCTTCTTTGTTAAGCTTTCGAGTTATTTCTCTCGAAACTGTTATCTCCAGAGGTTTCGATCTATTTAGCTCGATCTTTGTTTTTCCCTTTTTATCTATTTTCAATTTCCTTCATCGTTTTCGCTATGACCCGACCGAAGGAAGGTTCCGGAGAGACAGGAATCTCTGCTTCAGGCGCTCAACTTATGAAGGTAAAACAAGAAGTTGGCGAATCCATGAGGAGGACTGAGAGGAAGAAGAGGGCTAAGGATTCGATAGCCCAAAGAGTTTCCAAACGGACAAAAAGGACCGGAGGCTCTAGTGGGAGCGTACCTTCCGGGTCTCATCTGTCTTCTGTTTTGANGGTTCCGGAGAGACAGGAATCTCTGCTTCAGGCGCTCAACTTATGAAGGTAAAACAAGAAGTTGGCGAATCCATGAGGAGGACTGAGAGGAAGAAGAGGGCTAAGGATTCGATAGCCCAAAGAGTTTCCAAACGGACAAAAAGGACCGGAGGCTCTAGTGGGAGCGTACC